GTAAATTAAACCTTGTTCTAAACTTATTTTTTCCTTAATATTATATTAAATTATTAATTAAAAGTGTAATTTTAATTCTTTAGAAATATTAATACAAAAATATATTACTATTTAACATGTGACGCGATATGAAGAAAGAGATTTAAGAAGTAAAAAATGATAGATAATGTTTTAAAAGTTTGAATTAAAAATAAACAAAGAGAATCAATTTTTAATGCAAGTATTCCATCACCTCCTACTTTAATTAAAAAAAAATTTTTTAATCAAGACAAATCTGCCGTTAACATAACATTTTATTATTGTTTTATTAATACTATTAAACATTGTAGTTAATTGTACTTTTCATTTTCATCATCTTTATTTATTCATTAAAGTTTGATGTGAAGAAAACTAACATTTTATTATTTTACCTTTAGTAAAAATATTTATTAAAATGTCAGATTTTCTTAAATGTTTATTTTTAATATTTAATTTGTATGTTTCTTATTTAATTTAAACAAAGTTTGTATATTTCGATTTCTATATAAAATGTTGAGATGGAGCTATATATAATATTTTATGAGAAAATAGGGAATGTGTTGGATAAATTTTTATTTACATCGTTTTTTACAATGAAGGATCCTCTATAATGACGGTTCGGTTTAATTCCAATCTCCGTCACAATGATGGGATGGCGTTACTTGATTTGATCAAGTTTCAGTGCCGTATTCTTTGGGAGGATAGAAATAAAAAATAAGCAAATATAAATAAATAAATTTATTATATTTATAATATATTTATATATTTATTTATTAATATTATATTATATAATATAATATTAATAAATAAATTTATTTATTTAATGCTTATTCTTATATTAAATAATTTAAATGATAATGCATATTATTTTAATTACATTATTTATTTAAATATGTAAATAATTAAAAAGTTTAATTATATATTAATATAATAATATATAATATTAGTATAAGATAGAAAATCAGTTATTAAAATTATGTTAATTGAATTAGAATTAAAATGTAATATATTAGATACATTTAAGTATTGAATAATAAAAGTTTGACAGTTGAAATATCTGTCAATTGACTTTGTTTACACAAATTTACTATATTCAAATCTTTAATTGATTTCATTTCATTTATTATAAACGGGTCTTGCCCTTTCATACATAAGTATTCATAAAACTAAAAGTTAATAAAGTTAAACTAAAAGTTGATAGTGTTTGTATTCAAGGAATGTATTTCATTTAGTTTAAACTATAGTTCCTATACTGTTTGAAATTTGTGAAAATAAATCTTATAAATTGTTTCGTTTAAGTGAAATTTTTTTTTAAATATAAAGTGTCATTAGTGGTAAGTATTTATTTATTAATATTATTAATTTAAATTCAGAAATTTTTTATCTCTTTTTGTTTCAATTAATGAAGATATAGTAATCATAAGTTTCTTTTTCCGTTAATTTGATAAAATTTATATTTAATTGAATTTTAATTTCATATATTTTCTAAGTATAAAATTATAATAAATCTATTTATAAATTTGTATAATTTTTAACTTGCTAAATTCATAAGTAATGTAATTATTAAAAACATAATATTTATTTTTTATACTTTTTGTGAAATCTAATTATTATTTGAAACAATTATTATTTTATATATCTTTTTAAATAATATATAAATTTAAATCTTCGAAATATTATTTTTTAGTAAATTAATAAAAGTTTTATTCAAATTTTGGGGCAATCATGCGCTTCAAATTAATTTAAACAATAATTTTTTAAAAAGTTTTATTAATTTAAAAAAAATTATGTTTCTATTAGTAATGTATATTAATTATTTTATAAATTATTATTTATTATTATTATTATTATTATTTATTACTTATTATAATTATAATTATTTTTAATTATTATTTTATTATTATTATTTTTTATATTATTATTATTATTTTAAAAGTAACTTATATTATTATTTTTTATTATTTTTTTCAAGAAAATGGCAGAGAGCACTCCAAAATCTAGATGGCTGACTTTGAAAGAGCGTAAAGAAATATTGGATATTTTTAAATTAAATGAGGAGAACCGCATTAAAACTAATTGTGCAGATATTGCAAGGAGGTACAATGTTTCAAGTTTAACCATTTTAAGGATGAGAAATGTTGGTCGACATCATTGGAAAGATAAAATTGATGAAGCAGAAGTTTCAAGTGCTTTTGATAAGCGTAAAAAACCCTCAAATATTTATTCACTTGAAGAAATATTATATGAGTGGTTTAAACAAAAGAGATCTGCTGGTTTACCAATCACATGTGCTGTTCTGCAAGAGAAGGCTTAATTAATAAAGGAAAAAATGAACGTAGATATAGAATTCAAGGCCAGCAATGGATGGTTATGTAATTTTCTAAAAAGGTTCAATATCCGATCAATGTCAATGCAGGGTGAAACATTGTCAGCAGATTTTGAGAGCTCTGTAGATTTTGTGGATACAATGTCCACAATAATTCGTTTGAGAAATTTTCAATTATGCGAAATTTATAATGCTGATGAAACGGGACTATATTGGAAAATGTTACCAACAATTACTTTTATTGCCGAATACGAGAAACGAGCGGATGGATTTAAAATATCAAAAGAACGCGTGACAGTCATGATTTGCGCTAATGCGGATGGCAGCCACAAAGTTCCTCTTTTCGTTATAGGAAAATCTAAGAACCCGAGATGCTTCAAAAACATTAAAAAACTACCGGTAAAATATGGAAGTCAAAAAAGTGCCTGGATGACACGTGATCTTTTTAAAACTTGGCTGACTACAGTATTCTTACCATCTGTTGAAGAATTCCAAAAAATTGAACAAAGGTCACACAATATATTATTAATTTTGGATAATGCTAAGTGCCATTTATCAAAAGAAGATATTGAATCACTTTCCAATAACTGTAATGTAAGTTTCTTTAAAGAATTGACAATTTTTTGTTTTATATTTAAATTATATATTATATGTAAATCATTATTGCATATTTTATTACAGGTTGAGTTTCTTCCTCCAAACGTAACTTCTCTAATTCAACCAATGGATCAGGGAGTTATAGAGAAAGTTAAAAAAATTTACCGGAAAAGTATGTTAAGGGACATGCTTTTAGAAGAAAATGAAGACAGTCTTCTTAAATATTTAAAGCAGTTTAATATTTTAGATTGTTGCACACAGATTGCAAGTGCATGGTCTGAAATAACTGCTAAAAATATTTTGCGAGCATGGAGAAAATTAATACCGGCTATTGATGTTGATATGGAATCTAACGATCACTCTATTGATGATATTGTGCAAGTTTTGTGCAGACTTCCTGGATTCCAGAATATTGATGTCGACGATGTTGTTTCCTGGTTAAAATCAGATACAAATGACCCAGGCTGGGAAGTGCAAACTCTTGAAGAAGTTATTCAAAAGTACAAATTAAATGTTTCTGTTTAAAAATTATTAATCTAATATATATATATATATATATATATATATATATATATATATATATATATATATATATATATATATATATATATATATATCTTTTTTAATTCTTATTATTTTCTTCTCTTTTTCAGTTATTTTGGAAGTACTTCATCTTCAAGTAACAAAGAATTAGAAGCAAATGAAGAGGAAGTATCTGACGAGGATATGGATGTACTACCGCAGCCAGAAAATATTGTAGCTGAAGCAGATGAGGGTTTGAAAGCTTTAAATTTTTTCAAAAACTGGTATCAACGTCAATGGGATTGCTAGCCAGAAAATTTATTAAGCCTTCAAAAGGCTCAATAATCAAACAAAAGATATTGTAGCCCAATTAAAAAATTTACACTTGCAATAAAGTGCTTTTTTTCACAGTATTGTTATTTTTCTTATATACTGCCCATTAATATTATTATTAAATATTAATAATATAATGTATATTATAATATAATATATTATTTATATAATCATTAAATTATTAATAATAATTATTTTATTCAATTAAATATTAATTGTTTATTAATATTTTACTAATATTGAAAATAACATATTGTATTAATTATTATAATAATTAATATCACAATTACTTTAATATGAATATTATTTACACTTTCCAACGGACAATTAATTAATTTCATAATTAGTACGTTTAAATAAATAATATATACACATAACATTTTTCTACGAAAATTCTCCCAGTGTCTCTCAAATAATAATATGGACAGCCCTGAAAAAGTAGTTAGGGGGTGTGACGTAGGCAACCGTCAAAGTGAAGGATAGGAAAAGGGGAAATTTCGGGCTGATCCGTCATTGTGGAGGATTGACTGTACATCAAAATAAAAAAATACTATTGTATATTATAAATGTATATACTTACAATGACAATCGTCCATCATTATTTATTCCGATTATTTATACCTTGCAACTACATAAGTATTTTCACTTAAATTTGTCGATTATTGACAGTTCTTTTAGGTTAGGAATAATATGCAGAATCGCACAATATGCGTTGAGAAAGCAGGTGACTGTTGACAAGGTTTACGGTGAACGTTTTTTCTATGCTTAATAAAGACTGTCGCGGCAATTTACATATACTTGCATACACCGTATGCATTTATGTTTTCTTCATTCAATTCTCGTTAAAATTAACAATTAAAAGATTAAAATCACATTACAAAAATCAGCTGTCGTATTTTTCTAAAAAAATGTGAAACTCATTCTCATAACAAAATATACGCCTAAACATTTTGCACTACTTTTTGCAGTGTAGGTTCCTGTGGTATGGATGTAAGAAAAAAATATTGTCGGTAAAACAGAATAAAGCCATTTTAAGATACGACATTCTAGAAAGGTAAAATATACTTGATACACTCTGTTGTAGGAAATTTTTGATAGCACTGTTTTCTTCGGGAGAGTCGAAATGTGCTAACCTTTATTATAATCAAAAACATAAATTTTCTAATGATCCTTGTATATTGAAAAACTATCTTAAGCCAATTAGTTTAACTTTCTCTTTTCGGTTGTTGGCGATGCTGATGCAACATTTGAGTGTCTTCCACCTATCCTACTTGTTCTTCTATGCTATTGTCAACTTGGGATATTCACACTCAAACAAGACAAGGTACAAACGTTTTCTTTATTTATTATAATAATAAACTTTCTAATGTTATTTGTAAATTTTATGTAATTACTAATAATCTATTAATACCGTAGTTGCGAATTCTCGTCAAGCATATGGAGAACGATTGGAATTTTTTGACGTCTAAAGTAGAACGTACAATTTTGCAAAATGGTGCAGTACATGGAAGACGTCTTACAGTTTTATTTGCTAGTAATGATACAATTTAATTAAAATATATTATTAATTATTAAAGGTGTTATATTATTAATGTTGTAAGTTTAAGAATTAGCTACAGTTTGGGGGTTTCGGTTACGCGTTTATTTATAAAAAATTTACAGCAAATATTATAAATTTACAAAAATTCATTTGCAAAAGTGATGGAAAATTATTATATTCACTGACGAATTCCTAGTAGAATTTCTACAAAAAAATTTCGTAGTTATTACGGGCAGAATTCTATTCGGATTAACTTTAGAAATGGTTTTTTTATCAATTGTATATATATGCTTTTTGGACTGAAATTCGGACGAAAACTGTCATTCAAAACCTCACACGAATTCTAAACAAAACGAATTGTTAAGAAATTCTGAACGAATTATTCTCATCTGGGTATGCATATGTCATCATTAAAATTACTGTTCAAAATACATCAGCTTATCCTTTAATTATTAGAGTCAGAATTTCCCAAACGGATCACTTAACTTTTATGGGACTGACGAGGTACCCGGGTACCTTTTGCATTTTCAAATTGATTTTCTTCATAATTTTTAAAATCGTATCGACCTAAGGTTTCTTGACATCTCAAATTTATCCGCACAAAGTGTTTTTAATTTTGTATATTACTTATAATGTACATTTATAATTTATTTATTCAAAAATAATAAATAAAGTTTCTTCACCCATAAAAGGCGGACAAGGTACCCGGGTACCTTTATACATTTTAAGCAGATAAATGTATAGAAAATTCTATTAAAAGATTATGAAAATTTTCATTAAACAATTTTTATAGTACTGCACATAATTTTTTATATGAAATATGTAATTTAGTTACTATAGTTAAATAATAATATATATAAGAAATAGTCAACGAATTAAAGGGCGAAACCACATTAGAACGCTGTTTTTAGCCGTTTTTCGCGAATTTTTTTAAGGTAAGAATTGTTTTGAATCAAATAAAACATTTCCACCATGTTGTTCATATATTTAACTGTAACTCATATTTTTTTAAGCGTCACTGAGAAAACTGGAGAATTGGACTAAACATCTGGAGGGACAAATCGTTCATATTTGAGAGTTAGCTATTGAATAACAATCTAAATGTTCAAATACACCATTGACAGATATTCGTGCCATTTCTCTTGGAGGGAAAATGAGTTTATAACAGAGGGACAAATTAACCATCTTGAGAAATCCCTTCCTTATCCGGCGCGAAATGGATAAATATGGCAACCTAACCCCTAAATTAAATACATAAAATGTCAGAAAAATAATTTCGCGCGCATCAGATCGTACACATTTTCTGCGCAACTTTTAACCCTCAGATATAATGGGAGAGAATATACAAGTAGATTTCCATTATCAATTCAAAATTTATTTTAGAAGGACTATTTAACTCTCTTCATAAGCAAAGGAAACATACACTTTTTGAACCTCTGAATTTGACTCTCCAGTTTTCTCAGTGGTTTATATAAAAAATCTTCCAAATTCGGAGCTATTGCATATAGAGCTGCTCCGCCGGAGTTCATGACTGCCGTGCAGTCCTGAGCCCACAAATTTTGTCCGAAAGCAAAAAATCAAGTTTATTCACATTTTATAAATATTTTATTATTAAATGAACTAACTTTTAAGTGAAAATATTGAAAATTAAAAAATTGACACTACTTTAAAAAAATCTTCGATTTCTTGCCTAATTTTTGCAACTTTTTTATTTAAAAAAGGTACTCCAAATTTTGTTTTCTTTTCAATTTTAGTTCACTTAATAATAAATTTAATAACGAACAATTTCCAATTTTTCATTTTCAAATCGGTGAATAACTTTTTGAGCTACACTGCACGGCAATTTCAAAAATCCTGTTTTGAGAAAAACGCATTTGAAAGAATATCAAAAAATTGATATTTAAAAAAAAAATTTTAAAGTGATTACACTTTAGTCGGCTATTCCAGCACAATACATATCCCTTCATCTGCTTCATAAGTAGCATGTAAGTCTAATAATTCCTCTTTTCGTGCCTTTCTGCTCTCCTTAAGGCCTAAGCACAACTGGTTCGGTTTCGGGATATGGGCTTCTTAACCTCAAAATATATGTAAATCTTACATATCCCGAAACCGTCTCCTGAAACCGAACCAGTTGTGCTTAGGCCTTTTGTCTCAAATGTGCTACGCCTATTCTACACTGAGAAAACTAGAGAGTCAAATTCAGAGGTTCAAAAAGTGTATGTTTCCTTTGCTTATGAAGAGAGTTAAATAGTCCTTCTAAAATAAATTTTGAATTGATAATGGAAATCTACTTGTATATTCTCTCCCATTATATCTGAGGGTTAAAAGTTGCGCAGAAAATGTGTACGATCTGATGCGCGCGAAATTATTTTTCTGACATCTTATGTATTTAATTTAGGGGTTAGGTTGCCATATTTATTCATTTCGTGCCGGATAAGGAAGGGATTTCTCAAGATGGTTAATTTGTCCCTCTGTTATAAACTCATTTTCCCTCCAAGAGAAATGGCACGAATATCTGTCAATGGTGTATTTGAACATTTAGATTGTTATCCAATAGCTAACTCTCAAATATGAACGATTTGTCCCTCCAGATGTTTAGTCCAATACTCCAGTTTTCTCAGTGTACTATTCTATTAATCTACGGTAACCTGGAGCGCGCTCCGTTCATCACCAGTATAGCGAGGACGTCAAATTTTGCTCTAGAAACTTTTTTAGCCTATTTTTGAATACCTTAACTAATAATTCATGCAAAAAAGAAAAAATCGATTTTTTCAGACGTCTAATGTGGTTTCCCCTCTTAAACATAGGTACCCGGGTGCCTCGTCCGTCCATAGAAGGTGTTTTTTTCTTCAGTCTCATAAACAGTACAGTTTAACATTCATCTTCACCCATCCCTATCGTAAAAGATCCTGTAACTGTCTTTTAAAAGTAGTGATTACGCGTTAAAATCTCATTTTCACTGTTTTCTCTTGGCTTGAAGACTATTATTTATTATTAAAAAATTATTTTTTCTAGTAAATATGTATGGCTCAGTATTAACTTTCATATCAATGTCATTAACACCAATTGTTTTTGACTATTTTATTCCGTTAAATGAAACTCGTCCAAGGGACTTAGTTTATGCCGCAAAATTTCCTTTGGATGAAGAGAAATATTTACCTTGGCTGTTGGTCCATGGCTCTATTACTGCTTTATACAATTTGACAGTAATGTTTAGTTGCGAGTCAATGTTCGCAGTCACAACACAGCATGTTTGTGGTTTGTTTGAAATTATCAGGTAAAAAAGCTAATTTAGAAAAAATTTCATTGATTTAAGAATTTACCTATTTATTAATAATCCTAAAATAAAAACATTCAACATTATTTTTCGTTTCCGATTAGTTATAAGTTAAAAAGAGCAATGATGCTTTCGAACAAGGAAAAAAACTATAACATAATAGATGATAATTATTATAAAGAGTTGACATCTTGTATTAAATGGCACAACCATGCAATTCAGTAAGTTGTAAATTAATATAATAAATAAATGACGTATAATAAGATCCCAGTAAAAAAAAGTATCCACTCAATACTTTTTTTTACTGGGATAACATAAGAATAATTACAAATTATTTTTTAGATATTCAAAGATACTGAACTCTTGCTTTTCGCCACTTCTATTTTGTTCAGTGGGTTTAAATGTTATAGCCATCAGTTCTTTACTAATTCAAGTAAAAATTATTCCTTTTGCTTTATAACATGTGACGTAATCTGGAGAAAGGGGTCTTACGTGCAAAAACATGTTTTTGAGAAAATAGCTGTTAACGTTAAATAACTAAGTTTTCTTAGTTCTTGTCAATTATTATTTTGATAATTTGTTAATCAGAGGTTTCTAGAAATTCGATACCAGATTTGTAAAATTTTTAATAGGGATTTAATGGATTCCCATGAAATTCATTATTTCGAGATTTCACTTGTTGAATTTTTAAAAAGTTTATACATGTTCTATCAATGTAGAAAAATCAGTTTCTTTCATATGTTTATTCTACTTTCTCTTCATTTTTAACAAAAATTACAACTGAGGCTCCCAATTCAAGAACCTGTGTGGACGCACGCGTTTATACCAGTCCGTGAGCGCATCTGGGCAATTCACTGCTACCTGACTGGTATTAGCGCTTACGAGTCCCCTTTTTTCCTAGACCAGGTCACATATCAGTATTATATGCGGGTGAATTTTCAAGAACTTGCCACATTGGATATAAGTACCTTCTTTAAAAAAATATCCTGTACTTTCATTAATTAGTATTAGAGTAAATATATCAATATAAGTAAGTAACAGCCGTCTAGGAACGAATTATTTTCCGGGGGCAAAGCTGTATATGTACTGTAGATATATGTAAAACTATGTATATATAAAAATAACTAGGGGGCAGATGTCCCCCTTGTCCCCGGTTCCTACGCCATTAGTAAGTAAGCTTAATTGGAAATACCGTACCTAATTCTGTTTTAACCCTCTGAGCACACACCTCTTTTTTCGAACAAGAAGCAAACTCAGGGTCACTGTGACCCTATTCACTTTTAAAAACTTATCATTAAATTTACATAAAAGAATTGTTCAATATTCTTTAAACAATGAAGAATAAGTTTCTATACTTGAAAAGTTTCATTATAAATATTTTATTAGAGAAAAAATGCTAAAAATAGACCATTTTTTAGAAAAACGAAAAAAATTAGGTATATTTTTAAAAAAATTGTAGTTCTTGTAATTTTCAATATTTTTAACTCATATTTTACATTTGCATTATTGAATAGTAGTACCATGAAATAAAAATAAATTCTATACTGTAGTTTTTAAAAAAAGGATTTTTTGCAAGTTGATGGAGGTGATTTTTTTAACGAGATGTAGGCAACAACTGACTTGAGCATTATACTCGAGGAACATTAAGAACTGTTACTAGAACCTAAAACAATTACTTTTAGGTCACAGGACCTCTAATTGTTACAATTTTTTAAAAGAAATTTAAGTTTAAACTAAAAGATAGAGTTACACAGACCCTGTATGTGCTCCGAGGGTTAAAAAATAAAAATGACATTTTTTAACTAAAACCTAAAATATTTTAATTCCTGTAGAAGTTCACAAACAAGATCAAATATATTTGCATGTACATGTGTGACGGGTCAAATAAAACACTGTTATTTAGATTAAATTTTTGTATTTGACATGAGAAATTATATCAATTAGTTTTTTACTCAGCTAAATAAAATTACAAAACTATCCGCAGATCAGAAATTATATCCGTAGATTCGTGACTTACTGACTAAACATGCTTAGACAAAAGTAAGGGTGGATAAAATTTAAAGGAATTCGTCATTCAATAAGGGAAATCTGAAAACTAGAAGAAACTTGTCAAACTACTTTATTTTTTTCATAATAACGTCAGACTCCCCCAGTTTAGAAGAAACCTTAAGTTGTCCGGAAGCGCGGATGCCAACGGGGATAGTGGACATTTCGTGTCGAAGTTGCACGGTAGTTGTTACACAAAATAATTTTATACACAGATTTTTAGGCATAAATATGTATGTGCCTACCGTGGTTTCTATCCAACTACGTGTTCGTTGATTAAATTTTATTGAGCTAAAGTATGTTTCCATACAATGTAAGTTTTGTCCTATTTCTTTGAAATTTTTGGGGTGTAATAATTTGCGGTGAACTAAACAAATTCATATCTTCGGCGTTTAAGTTATAAGAAATATTCTTATTTAAATATACGTCGCTCTGTCGAGCTATTGATATTCAGAATGTACTGATTAGGGTCTTTAAGTGAAATGCAGGCAAGTTAAAGAATTCGGAATACTCAAAATTGACACATTTTATCTGTCATAATTTCGTTTCAGGTTCTAATAATATTTGTTTTACAAGAGTATATTTTGCTTAATAAATATGATGGTTGTGTGCGATTACAGATGCTAACGTCGTCGATGTTCATGCATTGTTGCAAGGAAGTTATACCTAAAAGGATTTTTAAATCAGTAGGGCAAAGAAGATGGTTTTCATCTTATTTGCAACTAATTATAATTTAATTTTTATCTGTTCGAGTAAATTAACTATCTTTCATTATTTAAAATTATTTCGTAATTATTATTATTATTTTTTTTGTAGTCGGAAGTGGAAAATCTGCGAATTCAGATACCTGCGTAATGAATCACATGTGGGGATGACTGCTCTTGTTCTGGTCGACCCACAGTGGTCTGAAACCCGATTCTAGGTGGACAAAACTAATTTCTGAAAATTGCTTCTATAAATTTTAATTAAACCGTGTCTATCTTGTACTGGCCTATTTATTTATTGTTCTTGCGAAAGTCTGTTTGGCCTCCTCAAGGGCCGATCTAAAGACTCCGCATCTACCAATGCCTGCGACATGTTTGATGTCAGCTTTGTTACCGCACTTTTCTTTGCATAAGAAGCAGCATGGGCTCTTCCTGCAATCTGCCACCCTATAACCGGCTTCTCCGCACTTAAAGCACGCAGCCGACCTATCTACTGCTTGACAGTTTTGACCTATATGGCCGTAATCAAGGCACCTATGGCACCGTGTGACCATAACTCTTCTTCTGACCTTGCTGTACACAAAACCAATCTTAACTTGCCTAACTATCATAGGGATTTCCCTATGCTTAACATCATCTTAATATTCGCTGACCTTTACTTCCCTTTCTCTATGTAATGTTAGTCATTATGCGTGTGATTCAATTTTGTAAGTTTAATCGAAAGATTATTTACCAGATCATCCAATGATTGTCTTTTAGATTAAAATATACTGGAATGTTGGTAAGGATTGTCTGCTATTTGAGTTTGAGTAGTTATCATTGTGTTAATTTTCGAGTTTTGTGTGTTTGAATTTTGAATTTGAAGTAGATTTTTTTCTTTATCATTTATAGGTAAATTTCCGGGGATTGCTTGTAGTTGAGATTGTGAATTTGATGTTGCTTTGGAATCTGATAACCGTGAATTTAAATTCGGAATGTGTTGAGGAGTGCTCATAGTCTGTGGATTCTTCATTAAGAATGTTTATCGCTGTAGATGAAAATGAAGGTTGCCCAGGAGCTATAAAAAAGTAGGGGAATGTAAGGTATCGTGGCGTGTAAGGTATGGTGGCGGACTAGTCAAATCTGGCATGTAACGTCACATCTGAAGCGCCTAATCACTATGGTTGATGTCTTTTATCGTGAAAGTAGTGAAAAAAAGAAAAAAAGTTTTATTGGATATGTGTGTTAACAGTGCCAGAGTGAAGATTTTTTGAAAATTGAGTCTGGTAAATGTATGGAACGTATTGTTTAGACCTTGGACAACAGTTTTTTGTATTTTACATTTTTTTCAATTCGCGCTGTATGAAAGTAACACCATCATATTTTTATCAATAGCTTGTAAGGTATGATGGCGCAATTTTTGTAACGTACAGTGGCGGATCATTTTTTTGCACGAGTTTCAATTGTCTTTGCATTTTTTGTGTACTAATGCCTCATGTGTTCCAACGCAACAATTCTCGAATATGTGACACTTGCGGTCTTCTCTTATTCTAGTTGCGTTAAAACAGCCACCAGCTACTTCACATATCCAAATTGTAACCATAACTAAAGTGAAACTTTTTTTCTATAATGAAAATCATCATTTTTTTTCTTTTTGTTATTTTTCATCATTTCTAGCAGTTTTAATAAATAATTTTAACATCTACATAATATTTTAGTTAAATACACCAAATGCGCCACCATACCTTACAACTTTCAAAAATAAAAAATTCAGTTTTTTGAGCCAAAAGCTGTAAAATTTCACTGAATTTAAATTTTAACAGCCGCTTCTGACAGAAATATGCTTAATAGATGTCAGCAACTGCCTGCTTTTGAAATTTTAAAAAATACTGTTTTTTGAGAGAGAGACGCAAAAAAGAAAGTGTCCGACACCATACCTTACACTCCCCTATCTTTTGTTATGTTTGCATGATCCATTTCTAATTTAAAGATTAAATTTATTATGAGATAATATAATTAAATTGCCCCAAGTTAGTGTACAAATTATTATTGATCATTCAAAATTTAATTGATCCATTTAAATTATTTGGTTAAAATTAAGTCATGCAAACTCCGGACAGATAACTCCAATTTGAAAAATAATTTATATAGATAATTCAAAGCAAAATCTTTATTCTGTTACCAGGAAAAAATATTACTTTATTTTCTACAATTTAATAAAATCAATTCCTATTATCCGTAGGCTTGTTGACAAGCAAAAATTGTATTGTATTCAATCACAATAAAGTGTGTTATCTGTTCTTACTGTGGATAAAATTCCCGCGTAGTAATTATTTCCACCTCAACACTCCATGCAAATTTACAAAAAGATGTTAAATGTAAACTAGGCAAAATGCAATTAAATATTACTTCATATAGTTAGAATGCTTATAATGGATTCCAATCTAAACGTTATTTTAATCTTTATAGGGATTGATCAAATTTTAAACCAAAATATAGGTATAAGTTGTGTACAGCATACCTTCAAGCAGTAAAAATAAAAACAAAGTTGCATTAAGAAGTTTAATTAATTAACAAACCAGGATTCAGATGTTATATGAACATTTATATCTCCTTTTAATTTTAAGTCTAAGGTTGAAAGATGATGTTTGAGGTAAATGCAAGATTTTCTCTGACGATGTAACTCCCCTCAAAGCTGAGGGGAGACAATTGTAAGTATAAACATCCACTGTTGATAAAGAAGAATTTTCTTTACTCTTTGTCATGTCACTATAACTGTACTGAAAAGCGCTTTTAACATAAGCATAGGGTAAATACTAGAATTTTTCTTATTTTTCTCTTATAGGAATTTTCATACTTTTTAAAAGAATACTTATCTATTTCTTTTAGTTCTTAACACTATTAAAGCATAACTCATCTTTTTTAAATCCTAGTAAACTTTTAAGATAATTTGACCTATAACAAAGGCTAATTGAACAAACGGTCCAATTACCCAAATGCAGCAAAGCGAAGTGGTCAAGTCGTCTGTCTAATTCGCCTTTTCGCCTGCCTAATATATCTTATTTATCAAAGGTATTCGGAGAAATTGTTAGCATCTTCCACCTTCGATAAATTCCTACAGATTAATAAATTTTTCTGTTAAATATTATTTTTTACTGGGATGTAAATATATGTGATCTTATGTCTGATCTTGTACAAGGATTTTCAACTGGGCCTACTATACTACTATATTCGCTGGGTTAGTGGAAAAAAGGACACATCGAATTTTGTTTGAAAAAGAGAACACCTTGCTTTTTAGTTAAAGAAAAGTACACCTCGAAAATATTAATTTTAAATGCATTTTTGTTTGACGATAATGTGTGTAATGTAATTGATGTTCTTAAATCTTCTATTATAAAAACTCAAAATACAATTACATTACACATAGTATCGCCAAACGAAAATTGATATAAAATGAATATTTTCGACGTGTCTTTTTCTTTAACTAAAATGCGAGGTGTCCTTTTTTTCCACTAACCCAGCGTATTGTACTCAAATTTCAAATCACTGAACGTGCAAAAGCCGCAAAGCTCTGTGGTGCTAAATACACAAAAAGCTGTCCATAATTCAAATTCTAATTAGACATATTAGAAATTATTTATTCGATATATTTAACAGTCCCTTATTACAAAGCGAACTTATATCGAAATTTGAAAGAACGATTTCAACAGGGCTAGCCTTATAAAATTATTTTGTATTTTTTTCCAATGTTAGTCACCTTTTATTTTCCCTTCCCACAGGGTGGTTTTTGTGTTGAGTTTAAAATCCAATGTATCTGCTCGAATAGTCAGAAGCTATCCCTGAATACATCCTTATCTATCCAAATTCGCGTGTTTTTACTGTAATATGTAGAAATTAAAATTCGTTTTCATTGTTACCAACTTTTAAATTAATGCAATAATTAACATTTTTTAATTGTAGACTTTGAACTCAATTAATGAGTTTACTTTGGCCATTAAATACGGAAGTTTTGCTAGTGCTTGTATGATTCATCTATTTTGTTTAACGATACCAGCTCAAAGCTTATTAGATAGTAGTTTATTAATTTCACAAGGAACGTAAGTATATTTGAAACGATCATAAGGAATAATACCAGTCAAGTAACTTTGTAATTATACTGTGCTACACGTAGGTAATTCTCAGAAAACAATTTTTGCAGAATTAACAGCAGAGTTTGTAGTATTTATAAGCACTAAGCAGCTTGGATTTTTGGCTTTATCTGCAAGGTAACAGATAATAATGTAGTAATAACGGAATAACATACTCTTAAGTAGATTCTCACAGGACGTTTGAATATTCCACATAACACAATTGTCATTCATCAGAACTGACATTTAACCTAATTGACATGCATAACAGAATTGACATTTAACACAATTTCCATGCAACAGAATTGACATTCAACAGAATTGATATTTAACACAATTGTCATTTTGTTGCATGTTAATTAAGTTAAATATGTTTCCGTTAAATGCGAGTTTTTGGTCTGTCAGTTAGGGATTATCGGGATTATTCATGCTTCCCATTTCAAAATTTCTCCAATTTGACTTTTTTTTCGTATTTTTCTTTCTACTAATCCACCCAACAAAAATGGCTGGGTTCTGCGCATACTAGCGACATATATATCAGCTGATGTAGCAGACAAGTTGTAGGGCAGAGTGGGGCAAAGGCGCTAGGTTTACATTTATCGATGTATATTTTTTTAATTAAGCAATTAATTTATGCGGTCTTTGTTTTTCATTATTCTTAAACTAATCAACAAGAAATTTTAATAGTTGTTATTTAGTATATTATAATTATAAATACATTATTTAATGAAATTTAAAAACAATGCGAAAAATGCCTTTGTCCCACACGCTGGGGCAGCGACGTTTTCGCTTATATTTCTAAAAGAAAGCATTTATAAGCCTTAAAAAATTAACAAGTGTTATTTATTAGTATAATATTTACGAAATATAAGGTTAACAACATATTATTAAAAGAATTAAACTATTTAAATAAAAAATAAAAACGTTTAGTGATTTTAACCTTATATTGTGAATTAATACATAGAAAATTCGGATATTCAATTGTGTTTAACCAAATTATGTTTAATATTGCCTTTGCCCCACATAACAAACTTTTTTTTTACTTTAAATTTAAAATATTTAAATACAAAATTAAACTAAAACACCACGCCAGTTGTGTAGAGAAATAATTAATTTATTTATATGTTATGTTTTTAAAAATAAAATACTTAAACTTATCCCAGTGGGCACACTTGTTCAAAAGACGTCCTAAGGATGTCTTTTTGGGGACGTATTTTGGACTTGTAAAATAAGACGTCTTAAAGACGTCCTATTCATGTTCTATGTCTTGGCCATTAGATGTCTTTAAAGTGTCTAAAAGACGTCTTTTTCATTCAACATTTGAAAATAGAAAAATTTTCATAAATAGAATATATTATTTTCTAAGTTCAACTTGGACTTAGAAATTTATGAATGTTAAATTCATTGGAATTTTTCTAAGTTAAATTCATTTCATTGACAAGTGAGATCGTTAACTTTGTAGAGGTTCATATCTGTCTTGAACGGCTGAGGTGCTTAAGGCGCAGTGTTTTAAGCCCAAGGTATCCGAGTTCGAACCCAGCTTCGTAGGAATTTTTTCATTATTTCTCCACATTTTAGAAAAAATAAAATTAAACTTAAAATAAATTTAATACAATGTTACTGAATTTCAACTCAGAAAATGTTATAAAAGAAATGATTATTTAAGATCTGAAGGAATGTAAAAAGGACGTCCAAAAGACGTCTTTCAGACGTACTTTAGACGTCCTTTCTTATGTCTTTTAGACGTCTTTTGGACGTCTTTTGGACCAGACATAGAACGTCTTTTAGACGTCTTTTAGTTGTCTTTTTGATGACTCAGAGACATTGCCATTATTGTCCCCGAATCGTCCGCGGACAAAAAGGGACGTGTCCCTGTGCCCACTGGGATGTTTTAAAAAATAAAAGTTTGTTCAGTAAAATTATCATTTTAATTTTGCAAAACAATTTTTTTGTTATATTTCTTAAAATATTTGATATTTTCAGGTTTTTCTTTTTTTAATCAATTGGTCTGATTGCATTGTAACTTAATTTTTAATACCAATTGGAATAGACAGAAAATAAAGGAGATATTTTAAATAACGTCTTTGCCCCGCATAGCGCTTTTGCCCCACTCTCCCCTATGCGCAGAGCCCAAATTCATCTCTGACGCAACTCATTTCACGCCAACCCTGTTCTCATTTCTTGCACCTATCCAACTCATCTTGTAACTTCTATATAGTCTTCTTGAAACTAACTTAAAGTGGACTTGACTCGTATTATCTCTTGCAAGTGCGGAATTGACAGCTTCTTATTCCCAGCTTTTGACAATGTAATGTATTTTCAAACTTAAACAGATATAACGGTGAATGGTATAATTTACCACTTCATGGACAAAAATTAATTGTGCCAATAATACTCCGAGGTCAAATACCTTCAACTTTAACTGTTGGAAAATTTTGTGACATGGATATGATTGCATTCGCTGCGGTAAAAATTATAAATAATTTTTTCTAAACAACTTTTTCATTGGCAATTTAAAAAATTTGAGTAGCGCTCCACCGGCCAAAGGATAAACTAATATGTATAAACTCATGGCTTAGAGATAAATGTGAAGTCATGTTTCCATCATGAAGGGGCACTTTGATTTTGAAAATACCATTTTTCGAAAAATGGCGAGTATATATGAGGCCTCGGATCGAAAAACTTGACCGACGCTCGATTGCACGCTGCTAAGCTAGTCAAATGTACAAAAATGTCGAAAAAATCGAATTTGGAATTTTTAATTTTTGAAAAATTCTATTTTGTAGAAAATGAGATTCCGCATCTCTTTTCCTTTGACGTTTTTTTGTAAAATAAATACTATAGATAATAATAAAATAAAACTAAAAATTTTTAATTTATAAATTTTATTGCCTTTTTAAACATCGTATCTTCGTCAATTGATGATGAATTAATTTGAAAATAAATAAACACTTACAGTTTGGTACACTGAAGGCTACGAAATAGCAAAAAAATAATTCCAAATGTTACAAATAACGTGACAAAAATATATAAGCTACAAGATCGGACTATAGAGAAAATTAAAATGGCGGCTCAAAAATGGAGTTTGAAGTTTTTTGTTTATAAATTTTTGATTTTTTATAACGCTATTCAATAAAACGCATATGAAAACATAAGAAATGATGATTGATCAATTTTTCTATTGATCTTTAAGTACTGAAATAACTCCTCAAACTTCATGCCAAAATTTTGTACATTTGGGCGTTAAAGGGATAAACAAAAACAGTGAGATTGAAAAAAATTACTTATGAAAAGTATTGATATTAGTTTTAAAATGTTTTAGTTATAAAAGATAATTTTAATTTATTAAGGGTTTAAGTACAGTTAGAGCTTAAAAAAATATGTTTTTTAGGAATTTTTTGTTGCCACACATTAAAATAATTAATAATAACAAATCTTTTTCCACATAAAATATATATATATTTCAAGAAAATTTTCTGAAATTATAGTCCACAAATATAAAGAAATATGCGAATGATAGAACATTTGCGTGAGCTCCTTAAATAAAAGTGGTTTCGCGGTGATCACGCTATCTCTTGACTGGATCATCTAAAATCAAATCGTGAAGAAGAAATCCTTAGGTAATGATATTAAGCGGTACTTTAACGAAGGGATTTGAAAAATTTTGATTTTTCGCAAAATGGCGGATGTTTAAAGTCAAAAATTGTATTTTGACCAAAATTTTACTCACATTTTCGGCTATAAAAAAATTGTCAAAAAAAATCCTTTGTTCAAGTACCGGCCAATTATATAAGAAATAAGTGGTAAAAATTTCAAACCGATCGGTAAAGCCGTTCTCATGTTACAGTGATCACCGACTCCCAAAACATGGTTTTGAGAAAAACGAGTTCAAAGTTTTGAATACCGCCGCCTGACCACAGTAACGGCTGAGACGGCTCCATTCAAAATTCTATATCTCTATAAACAATAGTTTGATTTGTCTCAAATTTTCAGAGAATAATTTTGAAATGGTATACTTTTAGAAAATGCATTTAAAAAAATCGATTTTTTGAAAATCCAAATGCTAAAAGTAAATCTTGCATATATAAATATATACTTTAAGCATTTATGCTTTTACGAAATGTTACCTTAATGTAAATACTTTGTTATTAAATAACATTACATAAACTTAATAATGTTTGCTTTTTATGTAAGCGTTATTATATTAACTATTTTTATAAGTTTGCATTAAAAGCTGTAAAGGCGATTAACATTCATACGCTTAATAAATTTATGAAGCATGAATTTATGAAGTACTTACGCGTCGACCGCGCTTTTTTAAAACTTCAATAACTTCCAAACTTTTTAATGTAATTACTTCAAACTTTTCAAAAAACTTTCTTATAATTATATTCACTAACAATTATCTCACTGGAAGTTTTTTTAACTGTGAAATTCCTTGCAGACTTTTTGTCAACGAATATAAGAAAACATAATTTGCGATGGGTCACCAATTGCAATAAAAAAATGTTAAACAATAAATTATTTTTGAAGTTTTTATTACATTATTGCCTTTAGGGTACCAAACTGTAAGTGTATATTTAATTTCACATTAATTCATCATCAATTGACGAAGATATAATGATTTGTGTTGAAAAAATCAATTAAATTTGTGAATTTAAAATTTTTAGCTTTATTTTTTATTATCTAAAGTATTCATTTTACCAAAGAATGTCAATAGAAAAAAGATGTGGAATCTCATTTTCTACAAGATAAAATTTTTCGCCAATTTTTTACCTTTGACTGGCTTGGCCGCGTGCAGTCGAGCGGCGTCGAGTCGTTCGATCCGAGGCCTAATATAAAATAAAAATAAAGTTTTAGCATACAAATTTAATTACTTAATTGTTTATAAAAATATTTGCAACATATCGAGTAATCTCTACGTGTTCTACAATATATTTGTATAAAGATACTCTCAAACTTTGAAAACAATCGATAAAGATTTGTAGCCAGTATCGGTTTGCCCGTTTTAGACCTCCAAAAAACGTGATCGTTAAAAGCGGATCCTGGAGCGGGCCATTTTATAATAAAAAAATTTGTTTAATATATTTTTGGCACACTTTAGGATGGATAATAAAGTACTGAATACGAAAATTTAATAGCTTTTAGTATTCTCTTTGAAAAAATCCCCACATTTGACATTTTTATATGAGCATGGTGGCCTTACCCCTTAATAAAGAATCCTACACTGCCGTTTAAAATAAAAACTTAGTTAACTAACATTTATATCGAAACGAGAAAATACGGAAAAACTGTATGCTTTTAGAACCCTAATAAAAATTAAAAAATTGTTCAATTTAACTTTACATACTGGGTATAATGATGCTGCTCTATTTAATTATAAAATAAAAAATTAATTATTTAAACAAATTATATGGAAAAATGCACTTGCGTGTTTTTCCGAATTAGCGAAAGTTAGGTAAAGTCCTTTGCGTAGTGCTCAGCAAAAAGGTACGCGAGCTCGGTCCTCTGATTTGATGTAAAAACTTACCTAACTGACAGTGACGTCATGTGGTAAGGGGACGGCTGCTTGCTGCTTGCGACCCGAGGACAAACCGAGTTTAGCCGAATGCCGATGCAGAATTGTAGATGCAAAGTTTTCATTTCGAATCCAACGCTCGGACTCGACTACCTATTTGATACAAAAAACACACAAATGCCTTTAACTAAGTTTTTCCTTCAAATCTTACATTCGAGCTCGTAGCCTCGTTTGTTTTTTGGACTACGGAAAGTACTTTCCTTAACTTTTTATCAAATATTCTTTCATTTTCTGCAATTTCTTAGATTTTTAATATTAATTTTTTACAAACAATAATTTGCAAAAAAATTTAAACTATAACTATTAGACGCAGTTTTTTCTTACGAGTTCATTGATACCAAAAACTCTTTTTTCACCAAAATGTCAGTTAACTAAGTTTTTATATCACACGGCAGTACAGCTTTGTGTATTTCAGAATTCCTGTTTCGATTGGTCGACTCAAACGTCGATTACTAAGTTAATTTTAAAATTCTTCATTCTGCCGTTAGCAAATATTTCTAAATAAGAAAATAAATCAAATTTAATAAATAAATAAATATCTGAGCTCACAACACTGTGAACGTCTCACAAACACATTAGTACAGTAGTTTTCAATTATGCCTTCCAAGTTTGAACGTGTCCCACTCATATGTTTCCATGGGAACATATTAGTGCGACACGTTCGAACTAAGAAGGCATAGTTGAAATGTACTGTACAACCTCTGACTGATGGAGCGCTGGTCGAACTGCTGCAATCGCTAATTTAGTTTCTATATTACCATAACCACATCGTCATCATCGGTATTTAGATAATCCAATATTAAACAAATATCGCAAATGCGAAGTGGAGACAGGTCATTACTTCGTAATTTAATAAAACCTAACGATGGAGACGCACATTTTGTAGTATTTATCTAACGTCCTATCACCGGATTATATAAATACCGACGGTGGAGGCGTAGTCACCCATTTAAAAAAACACAAAATGCTTGCAAACTTTCCACGGAATTTCAGCGGACTCTTGTCTGCAGAAAGTCTGGTTGCTCAAAAAATATAAAAAACTTATCGTTTTAAGCTTTTGAAGACATCTGTTTCTTATTTCACGGTCCTTTCATCCATGCGTTAATAACATTAATCAATTGAAGGGATAAAATTTCTTAATAAGTATTAACATGTAACACCTGAATTGAATAAAAGGTCTAAATATTTTCAATAACTATTCTTCAAATTGTCAAAAATAGTTAGGCAATTATTGTATGAATTAAAATATTATTTACAAAATACAAATAATAAATTTTTAAATATTCTTCTGCATAGTATTTTTTCAGGAAAACTTCCAAGAAACGTTTGTATTTTTATTTCTGTTTAAAATAGTACAATGATAAGTATTCTGTTGTAAGAATGTACATAATGTCTAAAATTAAAAGCTAACCTAGATATTGAATAATATGAACATGATTTTCCCTTATCGAAAAAACTACCACAAGCACGTACTCTACATTATCAACAGCGCACGATTTGAAACAATGATACAGAAATAAGAAGCAATTGGGTGCTTCGCCCCATTCTACTCTATACTACCCACTACAATCAAAGGTGTTGCTTTTTATTTTCTTCAAATAATAACCTTTATATATTACCAATACCATTTTCATAGTGGCATTTTACGTTTTTGCATAAATTTTATGACATAACTTTCCAGACATTGCAAACAAACGTTACGAAAATAACGCCACGCACGCATGACATTTTTTACTTGTGTATATTTTCCTAAGGGCGGTCATAATATTTGGATTCTTGCATCCTAGAAAAAGTAATTTTAGTTGACGAGGATTCCTCTAAAATTGAATGCATATTTTCTTCTCATATATAGTATCAAAAGTAATAATCTTTACATTAGAGGATTTTCCTCTCGCATACTATTTACCAATTATGGTTATGAGCTGATAAAGAAAGAATAATATAATAATGATTAAAAATTATAATTAATTACTTACATTAATGAATTTATTTGTCTATTTACTTTAATTGAATTCAATGTTTTTGACATCAGAACCATTAAGGGGGGAACCTCCTTTAGACGATCGAAAAATGCATCATTTTTGGGATCTTTTTTCTCGGGTAAAATAACTCCAAACGTTTTGTAATTTATATGGTGCTTTAATACATGTCTTGAGAGTCTAAAAAATTTTTTGAAGAAAAAACAAAACATTTTTAGTATGGAAATATACACAGCGTCCATGGCACCTCATTTTATCTGTGAACATTCTAGCGCTCTGAATTTTTTTCTAAAACAAAGAAACCAACGTTTTTTTTAAACTTTAGGATAATACCTTCTATATGACATTTCGATTTTTTTAAAAAAATTTTGAGAATTGATTTTTTTACCCACTTTTAAGTTAAAAGTGATTTTTCGTGCATAAACATTGACTTAAAATTCCAAAAAAATATGAAAAATTTTTTTTTCAAGAAACACTAAATATCATATTGAAGATTAATTAATTATCTTTAAAATGATGTATCATAAAGCCCGATTGGTTCAAAAGGGCGTTCTCAATCGTGTTCACAAAATTAAAAAAGTGGTGTTTCGAGAAAAATGCGTTTGAAGTTTTTTTTAAAAAAGTGGCTTGAATGTCAAACAAATGAAAGAAGGGTTGTCACATAGAAATTACAAATTATACTGACAGTGGTACTCTGAATGAAAGAAGAAGGCAGATTAAATGCTAAAACAGAAAAAATTCTGGACTCTGGTAAACATTTCACCAGACGACACATGAAAAAAAAATAGTTAAAAATTTTGTAACTTCTTCAATAATACGTCGGCTTAGTGGAAAACTGTACCATTTCAGGTATTCGTTATAAACTATACCATTTCAAAAGTTTGTTATAAAACATACCATTTCGATGAAGATCTATAAATGCGTTGCACTAAAGAATTTCTCATGATTAACAAGCAATTAATTTAAATTATTAGAAATTTTGAATTAATACATTGAAAAGATGAACAAGAGTATATTTAAGATACCGTTTTTTAAAAAAGCATAACCTTATTTTATGTCTAGCAGCAGTGTTGACAAACTTGGAAAAAAATCAAAAAACTTTTTTTCTCGAAATGGTATGTTTTAAAACAATTTACCGAAATGGTACAGTTTATAACGAATACCTGAAATGGTACAGTTTTCCACTAAGCCGACGAATACAGAAATCGACTTAAAATTTGATGGGTATATTCTTGAATAGTTGTAGAATCAATTAAAATTATTTCCAGAAAGTCGATTTTTTTGACGCAATAAAGGAGGTTCCCCCCTTAAAAATTGTTTTGTTTAATTGTCAACCATGCATGCCAAAGAATAAAAATATTCTGCATTCAAGTGGAATACTTTTGTTTTAACATATCCATACGTTTCTGGGGTCGCTCTTTCGAATGGCATGGTCAAAATTTCCAAAAAGTGACGTTTAACATTTATTTTTTTCAAAAATACGCAAAAAATACAAGATATTAGAAAGTAATTTTTTTCATATTTTAGTTGTCATGTCGATTTTTCCAAGTCATCTAAGGTATAAAAAACGTATTCCCGCTGGTTTTAGTTTGAAAATATGCTTTGCGTTTTGAGATTTTTGGTATTGTTTTATTCAAAATGGCGCCTGAAAATAAACAATTTTTCAAAATTGAACACAAGATAGATACAATTTTCAAAAGTTCATGAAATTTAAAAAATTCAAAATGGCGGATCCAATATGGCAGACGACAATATTAAAAAATCATCGTATTGGCTTGAAATTTGATACTCGGAGGTTTTTGGGGTAGCTGATTACGAATCTGATGCCAGATTTAAAAAATTCAAAATGGCGGCCCTAATATGGAGGACGACAATATTAAAAAATCATCGTATTGGCTTTAAATTTGTTACTCGGGGGTTTTTGAGGCAGCTGATTACGAATCTGAAGTCAGATTTTAAAAATTCGAAATGTCGGATCACTTAGGAACCATTTTCTCGCAAACCACTTAACGGATATGTTTTTTTAATAATTGTACATTAATGGACTGTAATCTGGTCTTTCGGTTTTGCAAATAAATTAGTTTGTAAAAGTAAAAGTTGTTTGCTTATTTAACAAAAAAATCAAGAAAACGGGTAATTATTTTTTCAAAATGGCACAGGAAATTCAAAAATAAATATTTGTCTTTATCGAACGATCCGGTTTTAGTAATATGTATATAAAATTATCAGAACAAAGTGTGATAAAAAAAATTATTTGGAATTGAGAAAATGGTACATAAAAATAGGCTTATTTCAATGGGATTTTACAACTGCTTATGCCCCCTCAACAAGGAATTAAAATTATGATCTGCCTCAGAAAAAATATCATCGGACTTACAATCAAATTCAGCATCGCCATCATGCAAGTAAGATTTGGCAGAATTATTAGCGGATGAAACTATGTTGGCATGGATATATTTTGTCGTCCGGCATTTAAAATTATTAAATTCTGACTTCAGATTCTTATTCAGCGACACCGAAAACCCCCCGAGTAACAAATTTGAAGCTAATACGATGATTTTTTAATATTGTCGTCCACCATATTGGATCCGCCATTTTTAATTATTTAAATCTATCTTTAGATTCGTAATCAGCGACCCCAAAAACCCCCGAGTAACAAATTTGAAGACAATACGATGATTTTTTAATATTGTCGTCCGACATTTTGAATCCGCCATTTTGAATTTTTTAAATCTGTCTTTAGATTCGTAATCAGCGACCCCAAAAACCCCCGAGTAACAAATTTAAAGCCAATACGATGAATTTTTAATATTGTCGTCCGCCATATTGAATTCGCCATTTTGAATTTTTAAAAATTGGACTTTAGATTTGTAATCAGCGACCCCAAAAACCCCCGAGTAACAAATTTAAAGCCAATACGATGAATTTTTAATATTGTCGTCCGCCATATTGAATTCGCCATTTTGAATTTTTAAAAATTGGACTTTAGATTCGTAATCAGCGACCCCGAAAACCCCCGAGTAACAAATTTGAAGCTAATATATGATGTTTTAATATTGTCATCCGCCATATTGGAGCCGCCATTTTTGATTTTTTAAATTTGACTTTAAATTAGTAATCAGTCATTTTGAATAAAAAATACCAAAAATCTTAAAAAGCAAAGCATATTTTCAAACTAAAACTATCGGGAATACGTTTTTTATACCTTAGATGACTTGGAAAAATCGACATGACAACTAAAATTGAATCTGAAAAAAAAATTTCTTTCCAAAATCTTGTATTTTTGGCGTATTTTTGAAAAAAATAAGGATTAAACGTCACTTTTTGGAAATTTTAACCATGCCATTCAAAAGAGCGACCCCAAAAATGTATGAATATGTCTTTGTAGATTTTTTAATAATTTTTTTCTTTTAATATTATGAGCTTGAATCCAAAGTTAAAAATCAGAACATTTGGGTGTTAAAGGGTTAAGAGGAAAATTTGAGAGGACATTAAGGTAGTACGCTCGCGATCGCACTTTTCTATAGAATTTCATGAAATTTGAAATCAGAATAGTTAATAACAAGATCTATGTATTTGCAAAATATTAAAAAAATTGACCGTTTCTAAAACAAGATATTTAAGTTCAAAGTTTGTTATTTAACATAGTTAACCTATGAAAAGTGCATGGAAACGGCACATTTCTTCTAATAACTTCTAATATTTTCTATAGATTGTTTTAAAAAACTAATATATTATAAATGAATGTTTGAGAAATTTATAACAAAAAGATTTAACAATATTAACCGTTTCAGTTAAAAGATATAATATAATATAATATTCTAATCTGACTAGTATACTTGTGTGTGAGTGTGTCTGTACATAGGGCTGACTATGTATTCAGTACAGTCCAAGCAAAAATATGCTACAGTAACTGCACCATACTATAGCATTTTATTAAAATTTACTTTTGAGAGTGACTGTCGCAAGCGTACTACCTTAAAAGAGAAATTTTGCACTAAATATGAGATTACATTTTTTAGGTATGGGGTCATATTAAAATATGTCAAAAAATACAATAGAACATTTTTAAATACAATGATAAGTTCATTATTACAAGGCACTATCAAAATGTCATTAACACTTTTATTATACTTTATAACATTTTTCTACTTAAAATCTAACAAAAGGAATGTATAGGGGAGACTGGGGCGAAAAGTTAAATTTTTCATAAATGATTTTTTTTTGGCAATATAAGCCGTTTAAATGCAAATATTTGTATATCAATATTGTAGGGCAACTTGTCCTCTACAACTTTCAATAAAAAGTTCCTGATATTTTCGCAAAAAATACAGGTTTTGTCCTTTTTTGAAAATTTTGTTTTTTTAACTTTTAGCCTACTAAAACTATTTTCTGATAGGTGATAAGTAGTAGATAAGTTAAAGAATACGTAAACAAGTAATTTAGTAAATAAAAGATCTTTGTTTATTTAACAAAAGCTTTAGAATAGTTGTAAAGTTAATAAATTGAAATTAAAAAAAAAATTTTGTGGTTTATTTCACGTTAAGCGGCTTATTTTTTGACAGAGTACTTGCCCAATGTCAAATAAATAATGTTTAAACGAATAAACCTAAAAAAACGAAAAAAAAAATTTTAACAACATGTAAAAATACATTTAACTTTTCGCCCAAGCTGCGTTTTTGGCTTTAACAACAAATATAAAAAATCTGACTAAAGATATTTAGCAAATACCTTTAGTTATCTCTTCAGGGGACCCAAATAAGGATCTAAAAAAATCGCGATGAGAATAAATTCAAAAAATATACTTAAAAGTTGATATTTTCTTTTTCGAAAAAATTTTCAAAAGTAGGTTGAAAAAAAACTTTTAATATCGACACCACAAAAATGAACACAATTGCACACAACTCCGGACATGTATTTAGGGTGATAACACCCTTCTATAACACAGTGCAACACATAGAATGTGCACTAAGTTTTGACTTCAGTTTCTGAAAGTACTAACCAAAACTAGCAAAAACCTATTTCAGTTTTGCTAGATTAGCTCGGATTTGAATTTAATCGACATTTGAATTTTTTTTTTAATTTTCACATTTTTCAGTTTTCTGATACGGGCGGGTGGGAACACTGGCTATTAAAAGTTTATTAAAAAAATTCGCAATGGTCACAATTTGAAAAGCAATAATCCCTCTTTAATTACAGAGAAAGAAAAAAAAATTTGGTCAAAAATTGTTCGAGTTATGAATTTTTTTTTGAATTTTCAAATTTTTCGCTTTTTTGAGATTGGCAGTTGGGAACGCTGGCTATTAAAAGTTTATAAAAAAAATTCGTAGTGG